ACCATAATGTGGACATGTAACTATCAGACCCTTGAATCTCTCCCACGTTTCATGTAGCGTCTCAGTTGGTTTCTGTTTGAAACTCAAAATCTCATCAATTTGCTTAGCAGTCTTATTGGGTGGATGAAATTTGCTCAAATATTGCTTGACTAATTCCTACCAAGTAGTGATGGAGTTTATGGGGAGTGAATTAAGCCAAGTCTGAGCTGCTCCTGTCACTGAGAATGAAAACAACAACAAACTTATTGCTTTCGGTGTCATGTTGTGCTGCCTTTGCATGGCACAAATTGACAGGAAATTCTCTAGATGATGCTGAGGATCTTCAACGTATGACCCAGAGAACAGTCCCTTGTTCTGCAACAGATGTAGCATGTTATTTGTGATGTGGAATGAATCTGCTTGTATCTGAGGGACTACAATGGCAGTTGCTAAGTTATTAGCAGTGGGTTGTGCCCAATCATATAGTGCTACTTCTGGCACAAGATGTGCCACACCCTGATCATTTGGGTCTTTTGCGTTGTTTCTGTTGTTTGGGTCATTCACGTTGTCTCTGTTGTTTAGATTATCGTCTTCCATGTCTAGTTCAATTTTTTTGGGTGAGTTCTATTGTTGTTTGCCTTTCCTGTTTGCAAGGTTCAATGCCTTGAACACCTTTTTAGGGTCTGATAATGCTTCGAGCAATTTACTAGTTCTTGAGGAGTTTCTAGGCATGCACCTGTAACAACCACGACTACAAATGTTAGAATTTCAATGGTTAGTTTAAATTGAAGAAAATTGACTACACTAAGAATTTTGCACTTCTTTTTAACTGCGATCAGTAACACCGTTAAATCCCCGGCAACGGTGTTATAATTTGATCACGCGCAACTATGACTTATAAAAAGGACAAAGCAGTCGCTGCAAATATATTTCGATTAACAAGTTCAGAGTCGAATCCCACAGGGAATTAACCTATCAATCACAGCTATTGGACTCACAGAAATTCACGTATTCAATTTTCAGAGATGTTTGAGTAACAAATTTGGGTGTTTATTAACTAAATATTATCTAATAAAAATGCAGTAATTAAGAACTAGCTATAAAATGGTTATAAACAAGAATGAGAATGATCTAAGGTTCTGATTTCCCCTCTTGTCGGAATCCTTTTAGTTATGTTTGCTATAAATTTGCCTAAGTCTTCTCTATCGATCATGAACACTCTGACTGTCGTAACACTCTCCCGAGTAATTACAACAATATACTAGACATATTCTCCCGAATTACGCTAGCTGGCCTTAGTTACAGCTCACTTAGATTTCACCCAAAGTTTCGTTATCCCTAATCTCACCTTTAAACCCTTCGTATTGATCCCTCATATACGTTAGGAGTGATGTTATTTAACAACTACCTAAATATACACTCTCTCCCGAGCAATGCATACTAAATAGGTACAGCCGATTGAGGGCTCTTCAATCAACAACAATCACAATATAGTTGAACAAACAGAGAAAATATTAAGGCAAATCTATATTAACATAGCAAGAAATTCATCCTCTAAGAGGTTCCATCAAAACCTTAGATTAAGAGTTTAGCTACACATAATTATTTTCACAATCATAACAGTAGAATTCATCATTAATGATCAAAACAATAGGAAGAAAGGTAAAACTCTATGTTGAATCTTCTNCGAGCGCGGCCGTGGTTGGCCCGCGCTCATGGAGCTCAATTGTCTTCCATTTTTTCCTTCTTCTTTCACGTGCATTCACCTCCGATTGGCCTTCCTTGCTCCAAATTAACTCCAAACACTGTTCAATGTCCTCATAATCAAGACTTGCTCCTGTAAGGTACAAAATTCATAATTAGAGCCATTTGTTGTCATTTAACCTTCATATAGCAATAAAGTATAACTAATTTGGGGCGTAAATGGTCGCTAAACTACATGAATATAGCCTATTATCAACCTGCCATGTAAGGTTTTGTATACACAAAGAAAGGAGATCTTGGATATTTTGACTTTAGTGAACTGTGTTAATTGTAGATCTAGAGGAAACTAAAAATTTAACTAAGAAATTCCCATAGACGACGCCAAATTGTTTGACCAAAAAGTATAAATCTTAGCTCAAGTAATTAAATTCATGTAAATAAGGGTTAATCTTAGCTAACAATAATATCCTTAGATATGATTCTTAAAGAATCAATAAATACTACGCAAGTACGGTCGAACGGTGGTAGTAGTATGTATTAAATATTCCACAAATCATAAATAACAATACAATAATTAATAACAATGAAAAGCAATAAATGACATTTAAGTAAATAGAATGAATGTGTCACCCAATAAAGGATGAAATGAGTGAATATTCTTTCTGACAATGATGAATGATAAATAATCTCTTGAATCTTTGAGTTATTCTCGTTGGTGGAAAAACATATACAAGAATCTTAGTGAAAATGTGATGTTTGCTTACTAGTAACGAGATCCATTTTCTTTCTTCAGTCATAGTGTGTTTGCTTTACAAATAAATATCTTGGGTTCGAGTCACGATGGAGGGGAAGTATGGAAACACCATAGATCCTCCTAAATTGGGAGGAAATTTAAAATAAAAATAAAAATAAAAAATAGATTAAAAAATATGTCCCTCTATCATAGAATCCTTTTCTATTTACAGGGAACATACTTCTAACAAACCCTAATAGTACAAGCACAGAGAATATCCGCTAGAATATTGTTTGTCAAATCATATCTTGAAACTAGCCGTTACTGCTCCGTCTAAGGCACTCGATCTCGGCCCCAACTCTCGTTGACTCTTCGGCTCCGTCCTTTTGTTGAAACTTTGACCACAGACTTCGCCGCTTCTCGAGCCATTTCGACAAATGACGACTTGAGAACTCTTTCCCTAGTACTATCTTGGTTTAAATATTCTAGGGGCAGATTTTGATCCATACAAATAGTATTTGAAGTCATCGTTCTAAAATTCAGAACTCATAAAGATAGAATTTTAGCTCTACCTCTATAAGCTCGTAAGATTATCCATGATTGGAAACTGAGAAATCTCAACTTGAAAACACATAGTTCATGTCTTTCAAGCGGCAAACTTTAGATTTTAGCCAAAAAATGCCACCGGCAAAAAACGGAAGTTCGGCGATGACTACTGAGTACTGCGCCATGAAGGACTAGTTGAATCAAAGTGGTTTTAGCTCTGTTTGGCCATATGTTTTGACTATCTTTTTTGGAATTTCTTTTGAAAATACTATTTGTTCATTTAATTTGATCTGTTTTTGAAAAAAATTGAAAAAAAAAAAATAAAGTTTCCAAAAATTGGTTTAGGGTAGTTTTTGGGTGAATTTTTTTTCCACTCATAAAACTTTAAGTTTTTTTTCAAATAAAATACATGTCAAGGCACAATTTTAGCTTTCAAAATTATTTTTTTAATACAATTTCATTTTTTTTTTTCAAATTTCAACCAAATCTATATCTAAACACTAGCTTAATTTGACGTTTTGACAAACAATAAATGAAAAAGTTGTTAACAATAATGAGAGTGAGAGGAAAGAGGAAATTGGAGAATATGTTCGAACCATCTTTTGGCTCTTCTAGGACGTTGCAAATTAAAGCTGAGAAAATATGTTGAGAAAAAGTTATAAACGACTGATTTTCTCTTTTTCTTTTTATCTAGTGGAAAATGTTAGAATTTAATGAACTATTGCATTTAGTTAAAAAAGAAAAAAATAAATACCATAAAAATGGCTAAAAGATTAATTTGATTAACTGTTTAGTTATGGTTCACGTTTGCAATGACTTTTTCTTCTTCTTTTCATGTAAGCAAAAACTGACTGAACTTGAAACACCAAAAACCCCTAAAAAATTATACATATGTGTATATACATAGTTCACGAACAGAGGTCATCTTTTGATTAAGTGTATGTTTGTGTGAATTATGTACCAATTTCACCATTTCATAATTAATTTCTATCTATTTATGTTTTCTCCTTTTTCTTTCAACACGAAATATAAGATAAATGAGTAATGGGGTATCCGCTAATATGATTTTGCTTAAAATATTTGAATGTTGTAAGATTTATTATGTCACCTAGTGCGACTCCTATAGTAGCTATATCTTGTTTATTCATTATTCGCATTACTTAATAAATAATATGTGGAGCAACTATCTCGATATTACAATAATAGACACATGTTATAAATTTACAATAATCAAGCGGCATTTATAAAGCAAGTATTTTAAGGTGGCTTAACTTTATTTTTTCAGATCGACTCATTAATATTTAAAATCACCCTAAAAGGATAATTAGGAAGAAGAAAAAAGTGCAAACATATAACAATTTGGGTAGAACCTCTTCTCCATGCTATTGGATCACTTTCTTAATTCCAAATAGTTGGTAAATGATTAATCTTCACGTGTTTGTATATTTATTATTGAGGAATTATCTTAAATATTAGTATTGGCTGCTAAATTGTTTACGTATTCGTAGTTTTACTATATTATGATAATTATTGCTTGTAATTATTTTTAGAGATTTTAAAATCAATATTTCACATTTCAATATAACATTAACATAAATTGTTGTTAATTTATAATCAGCAATAGAAAGATATATTTTACAATGATGTTTTTTAAGGTTTATAAAGTAATAAAAAATATTTTAGGACAAAACTCGCTTATTGTGTTTGATGTTACTACTTTCTTCGTTCCAATTTCTGTGAAAGTATTTGATTAGACATGCGGTAAAAAAATAAAAATAAAACTTTTAAAATTTATAATCTAAAATAATCATAGCGTATAATTGGAAAAAGAAAGTGTCACGGGTAATGGAATAAAAGAAATACTACTATTTACGGAGTAGTACACAATTGTTGAACAATCTCCAACTTTCAAAAACATTTTTTCTATTGAACTTTATGCCCAAATATAAGTTATAGTTTTCCAAATTCTTTTCAACTTGAACGTAAAACTCAAGTCAAATGGCTATGGTTGTTTCCACCAAAATTTACATTTGAGAATAAAGGCCTGAAAATAATGTGGTCAACGATTTGCTGTTTTACTTTTCAATCCTCTTCAAAACCCTTTTCCTTCCCAAAAACCCCCTCTCACTACAGAACGAATCGCTGCTCATTTTGCTCACTCACTCCCTCCATTCCCCATTCCCATCATCCAATCCATTCACTCTTTCAAACTTTCTTTGACCTTCATTTTACTCTTTCTTACTCTAGGGTTTCTTTTTCACCTCCATTTTCTTCATCTATTTTCCCTTTCTTCATCGCTCGATTTCATCTTTTTTTCGCTTTAGGGTTTTCAGTAGAGCGGGAGGAGTTTGGAGCACCGATTCGTGAATGGAGTCCTCGGCAGCGGCTGGTGTCGCCGCCGCACGCGGCGTTTCTCTTCCTGTCTCCTCCTCGTCGGCTCAGGCTTCTCGCAAAGAGTGGCGTGCTGTCTCCGAGCAATCGCTTCGAAATTCCAGTAGCGAGGTACTTTTCGCTGATGCAAAATCCTTCTTCTCACATTGCCTTCTGTTTCTGATCTAGGCCTTACGTTTCCCTTTTCATTTTACACCATTTCTTAATGTTCAAATGTAGGAAATGGACCGTTCTAGATTAGGTCAATCTGATGAGAGACTGATATACGAGGTAACAGTTTTAAATAAACATAAGACATTTCCGATAAACTTAAATAAAAACGAGAAGAAGTATCACATTAGTAGTTTAGGGTTTGTAACGTGTAAATGAATNAATTACGGGAGCGCGCAGAGCAATATAACCAGCTTTGGCTTGGCTGTCAAAGACAGGTGCTTCATTAATGATTCATCAACTTCAGTTGATTCACTTGCTCTTACTAGGAATACCCTTGGTTATATGGTCCTATGTGACTGATTATGCTTTTCATTGGAGTGATTTAAGTACATAATTTTTGTTGCAGTTTTCTTGTATTGACGAGATTTCTTTTTCTGTTAGTTTGGTGAGATGGAGCGCATGCATATGCACATGCAGCAGCTCCAACTTGAATTGGCTGAGGCAAGAGGTGGAACTTACTCTGATGGTTCACAAGTCTCCAAACTGAATTCTAAAGATGCTAGTCATCTTGGGCAGAGCAATGGTAGCCAACTTAATGCTAGTGGAAGCAGTACACCTGGTGAAAATACGATAGGCCTGCAAAATGGAAATGTTGAAAATGGTCCATCTTTTACTTCAACTGGGAATGTGTCAACTCAGGTTCAAATCACTGTTCTATTCACATTTTTCTTTTGACCAAAGCTGCATGTTCTAGGACTGGGTCGGTTGTATCAATGTTACAGGCACTGTAAGTAGAATTTATGATAACGGTTTAACTATTTGCTGTAGAAGTACTGTGCAAGTGCCTCATGTATATCTTTTCTTTGTCATTCATGACTTGACAAGACTCAAGGTGGTTTCTATTTCTGAAGAAGTTAGTTGGAAATAATGGTCTGAAAGTGGAAAATGGGCGCTTATTGCATCTTCGATATTGTATTTGAACTGGGACTTGAGTATGGTCAAATATTATGCTGTAGTTATCATGAGCTATAGCCGCTTTTGGTCTATGGCACTTAGTTCCATCATTTTTTGATAGATGAGCACATTGGATTTATATCTTCTGTATAAATTATTTTAACTGGGATCTATATAACATTCCACCCAAGACTGTCAAAGAACTAGAAAATTTAACCTTATGAGCTGAATTTCAAAGTCCTATTGCCTTTCAAACTTGTAGTTTCATTAGTAAGTTTGTTTGATTACTTTTTGATAGTTGAACCATGAATTATGCCTAGCATGTAGGTACCCTAGCTTCTAAATCGGTCAACAGATACTCATGAGAGGTGTAATCTTGGCATCAAGGCTTACTTCTTTAACTTCAGAAAAGAGGCCGGCTTCATTATCATTGTTTTATGCGATTTTGATAAACCTTTTTCCCTATAATCTTGCCAAGAGATTGTGTTTAAACAAAACTATGTAGTCATGTTTGCATTTTATCTGGAGCTACTGCTGTCTATGGATAGTAAGACACTAAATGTCAAGAATAACCTAAACCCATTGGCACACCCTCTTAAAGAAAAGAAAAAAGAGAAAAGATACATTGTTCTAAGTCTGTTTTGATTCTCCTTGCTTCTGTGCTCACAACAACTAACGATCTCTTTTTCGGGGTTCCACCAGTCGGATCAAGTCCATGGTATGGCAGTTGCTCCTACGTCCTTGCTTGGGATGACAACCTACCTCCCACCAGGACAGATTACCGCTCTGCATCCATACGTAATGCATCAACAGGGGATTCCTCCTCCTTTACCATCACATGTTCCTCAATCTCATGTTGGGCAATTTCACTCAGTTCCGGTAGTGTCATCTCTTCAGCATTGGCCAAACCAACAGGTAATTAGAGAATTTTGCTCTAGTTCTCACAGTTACTTTTGCTTAAGTTAGGAAGATAAATTGCTGTTTCTCTGGTCTTCAAGGCTGTAACAGAGGGTTCACAGATCTCTAGTCACAATCAGTACTCGTTGCAACCTCAATCAACCTTGCCAGGATCAGATTCCCAGGGATCAGATTCTCAGTATGATCACGAAGCAACTGTCAATGGCCAAACTCTTTGTTCTGATTACGGAGATGGCAATATGAACCAAGGAAGTGAAACTCAGGATCCAGTGGTTCCAGCTTCGAGTGAAGAGGAACAGGTCTATTGCCTGCAGTTACCTGAAATTTTCTCATGTTTTGTATGCATAGTTTCTTGACCTACGATAATTTTGTAGGAACTTCAGTCTGTGGATAAGAATTACCTCTCCAGCATCCAGGCTCAGCAGACTCTGCATCAGATTTCTTCACAATTCAATGGTGCTTTAACATTGGATTCTCATGAACATGACAATGAGACAGAGGTATTTCTAACATTCTCTAAAGGAGCAGTATCCCAATTACCTTTTGGGGCTACTTGTGTTTGTGTTGTTTAGGTTTGGCGGAAGGGTGGGGAGTATAAATGATGTGAATAAGCAGAATCATCCATTTCGCGTTCTCTGTCAATGCTGCAGGTGAAGAATGTCAACTCTTCAGCTAATTACATGTTAGAATCTCAAGGTTTAAGAATGGGGGAATTTAGTCCAAATGTCGATAAATCATCAGCCGAAATTCCATATGCTGCAAATAATTCAACTGAATCAGTGACAGATACCATGTCAGGCGCTGTATTAACTGAAACATATGTTGCTGGTGGACAGAAGAATGCATACACTGTTGTTAGACCAGGAGAGGTTATTCTCCTGGATGAAAAAGCATTGCTGGCTTGCATAGTCCGCACTATTCCACCTGGTTCTGGCGGTAGAATCAGGATTAGTTCTACGGTTAGTTACACTTAAATAGTGTGATAGCTTTTTTTGACTTCTGTCACTTCCTAATTCCTTATAGTTTCTAGTGATTCTTTTTGTGTCTATTTATGATTCCAGTTCCTAATGCATTGTGTGATGTGCAGCTTCCTAATAGACTTGGTAAAATGCTTGCCCCATTGCACTGGCATGACTACAAAAAGAAGTATGGGAAACTTGATGAATTTGTTTCAAACCATCCTGAAGTATGTATAACACTGTTCTGTGTAGTGAATCTCTAATGAGCTTGTGCTTTATCAGCAACTAATTTGATCTTTCTACTTTTAGTTATTTGTAATTGATGGAGACTTCATTCAACTTCGAGAAGGTGCTCAAGAAATTATAGCAGCCACAGCGGCTGCTGCTAAAGTGGCTGCTGCAGCTGCAGCACCATCGTCATACTCCTCTCTTTTGCCTCCTATTGCTGTCACCCCTATGCCTCAAAATCACCGTTTGAAGAGGGTACCATCAGTTGAACCAGCATCTGAGAAGGCGATTTTCAAAGACTATGCTGTCATCAGACCAGCAAATCCTAATGATAACCATCAAAGTCAGATTTCTAATGGTGCCTCTTTCAACATTACTGGAGGCATCTCAAATGTTAAAATTTTGACAAAGCCTAGAGACCAGATGGAGCTAAACGCATCTGAATCGAGGGCTGCCTCATCTGTACGATTGACCAGCGGGAATGGAACCAATGCTGACAAAAATGACATGGGTAGCTCACAAAACAAGGTTTCATCTCATGGGAGGTCTGGTGTAAATTTAGTCAGTAAGCAGGGCAGGTATTTATTATCATAAAGTTTAAACTTTGAAGAGCTATCGTTGTGCTTCCAGTGCCACCATTAACAGTATCTCATCCCAAGTTTTGTTTATTTAATTTTTTGTTTTCAGGAATGTTGGGATTTCATCATGCTCTAGAAGATAGTAAGTGTTCATAATAATTTTGGACTGTGTTTTACTTATTTTCTTTTTAAATCTATGAGCTACCTGTAGTTTTATTGCAAGTTTATATTGCTGCTGACCTACCTCTATCCTCTTCGAGTACTTCACCTTCCTCTTAGACTGAAAAGGAAAAACTAAAGGATTGAGCATCTAAAGGGTGTGTGCGCGTGTGGAGAGAGGGAGAGAGCTATTATGTTCAAGGAATAAAAAAAGGGTACAGAGGTTGAGTGACAGAGTTCCTTCTGTATCAGCAGATATTTGGTTATGAATATTCGTCCTACTCCATTTAGAATTTTTTGCACATTTGAGTTAGAATCAACTGTGAGCGCATAAAGGTTTAATAAAGCAAGCAAAATGTGCAAACTTCAAAATGTTCTGCTGTCAGGGTTACTTTTGAGTGAAGTTTCCTACTATATACCATGTGATTGTGTTTCCAGGTAATGTTTTGCCACTGAAAGTGTTGGTGTTCAAACGAAAAATCTCCAAGATATTCCAAGATAATTTTTTTTCATCCACTTTTTAAATTTTATTTTAAATCCTATCTGGAATAGGATGAAGGGAGGTGCATGTTTGTGGTTGTTGAAAGTGCTTCATGTGCTTGTTTCTTCAGTTGATTTGGTGAATAACTCATTGTCTTTGGGTATGGCAGAATATTGGATGCTGATGAGTATGGCAGGACAGATATTGGATGCTGATGGGTGTGGCGGGACAGATATTGGATGCTGATGGGTGTGGCAGGACAGATATTGGATGCTGATGGGTGTGGCAGGACAGATATTAGATGCTGATGGGTATGGCTGATCATTTAAATTTGAAATTATTCAAAGGGATAATTTTATTTAGTTTCAAATTGGAATACACTGTAATGTTTCCTTTCACATCTAAGTGGAAACAGTTGTTCATCTAAAGTATACATCCTCGGTTTTGCTGCTTCTTGGCCATTGATCATATGTTAGGGGAAGGTACACTTCAATTGCCGACAATGGCTTTAATGTCTGAAATGCATCTTGTGGAACTTTAATGATGAAAAAAATGTGATGATCTGCTTGGATCAGCTTAATTGCGTGACACAGCTAGGGATTTCAGAACGGGTGGGTTAGGCTATATCTGGGTGGATCAAAACGGGAAAACAGGTCGAATATAAAAGGATTGTTCCAATACCCATTCAATGTATGCTTGGGTCAAGATGAACGGACCATTTTGGGTTAACAACGTGGATGATAACCCAATCTTCCAACTCAAACTCATTTTTGTTTGATTGTTTTTTTTTAAAATAATTTGTTCAATTACCAAATCAAACTAATAAAAGCTTTATCCTTTATCTATCATCACTCTATCAAACAAACCAAATTCAAA